CCAGTTGGCGTATAGATACTATACCGAATAGCGTAGCTCTACCGGTGCAGAGCCCCTCCTCGCCTCCTACTGTCAGTGGGTAGCGGCGAGCGAAGGGGCTACACCGCCGCATAGAACCTAACTCGCAAGTCAATTCTACGTCACGAACCCGTGGTGCAGTATTGAGCGGTTTCTATGTAGTAGACATGCGTCGTAAATTGCATCGCTTATATGCGTATTCTTGCGTACTCACGAGACAGATAGCAAACTCACAATTCCATTTCCGATGTTAGCAGATGCATTTATCTTCATTGCACAGTCTGGCATGTTTCGCACGGTCTTGATGCATTTTTAATCATGGTTATCCTCCCTTGATCGGCCCAATTGTACGTAAGCACGCTCCACATGATCGTCTGCAAAGAGAATAACAGCCGAAGAAATCATTATTCTCGCGTCCCAATTTGAATGAGCACCCCACAGGCCCTTGCGAGGCTCAAGCTTTTTTTAAGTTTCTCAGAGAGGAGTAAAAGTGCGAAGCGGCTTCGCTCTATTTTACTCTTCTTGAAACTTGAGCCTCAAGGGCTGTGATTGAGACATTGTAAAGGTTGTGCGCTAGGGTAATCTGCGTTACAGAGCTACCAGAGGTTGAAGTAGGAAGGTGCATCTGCGTTACTAGAGCGCCCTACAACGAGTGGCTTACAGAGAGTGATCTGGTTTACAGAGCTACCAAGCAGGTTTACAGAGTTGATCTGGTCTTACAGCAATTCTACCAAGAGCCGCTTACAGGGGGTTTGATCTGTCGTTTACAGGAGGCTACCAAAGACGTTACAGGGCGCGTGATCTGGCTTACAGAGCTAGCCCATAGAGGTTACAGAGGTGATCTGTGTTACCATGCAGCTCACCAAGATGCGTTACAGAGGTGATCTGCGCTTACAGAGCTTTACCAAAGAGGTTACAAGGCGTGATCTGCGTTGACTCAGAGCTATACCAAGAGGTTACAGACGTGTGAATTCATGGTTTACATGAGCTACCACGAGCCCTTACAGACAGGTGATCTGCCGTTACACGCTTAGTAGCTTACAAGAGGTGTACATGCAGGGTGATTCTGGTTACAGCAGTTACAACGAGCGTTACAGAGCCGTGATTCTGGCTTACACGAGCTATCCAAAAGCGTTATACAGAGGTTATCTGAGTTATCAGAGCCTCACCCAAGAGGTTACAGGGTGCGTGATCTGGCTTACGATACGCCTTACTACTATACTAGCTTCTCAATCATGATTTACCTACGTTTTTCTTACCCTTAGTATTCTACCGGTGTAGCCCCTTTACTCGGAGTTTAAGTCTAGCAACGGAACCCATTTGTGTATTTGCTAACTTGTGAGATCATGACCAGGTATTGCTAGCGACATGTCTTCTGATCCACGGCCCTCTCACTCCACTAACAGGCCAAACTAACTGGGTTGCTATAGCTCTAGTCTATAGCCGCGGTGCTGGCAGTTTAACTCGAATCGCGGCCGTCTATAGTTTACTAGACCCGCCCAACTGAGTGGTTAGGGTTTCCTGCTAGCGGCGAAATGACCGGCGGCTCCATACGCCGTTAGAGCCTAGATGTGCATACTATTTTAATTCCCATAGCACATCAGTCGATAACATAACAATAACTCTCTAATGTACACGCGTGTGAGAGGCGACGACATTCCGTCCCACGGACAGCCTGTTGCCCTGTGAAAGAAGCCTGTCAAGCACGACTACGGCCGCATTATACGCCATTCGGGTCTACAAACCGTATTTACGCGTTTTCTATGACTACTTGCCGTCACTCTATATCCTGGTTTGCGTCTATTTCTTAACCATCGTTGCAACAAGATTACCTTTCAAGTGTAACAACGGCAGACATCACGCGCCCTTCTCGGGCATTAGTGTGTTGGGCAGGTATTATGCTAGTTTGTGTGTCTACTTGTGCGTGAGGTTGTTGGTCGGCTGCTGTGTGTGCTGTGGTGTGGTGTTGTGTGTGTGTGTGTGTGTGCGTGTGTGTGTGTGCGCGCGTGTGTGCGTGCGCGCGTGCGTGTGTGCGTGCATGCGTGCGTCTATACTTGTTTGTATCTCTATCTTAATCTGATTACTGTACAAAGAATATATGAGGCACGGGTATCAGCTGACGCAAAAGTTGTTCATCGCAGGGTTAGACAGCAACGAAGATGGTGAAGAAACTATTGATTGTGTTAGCGAGTAAATTTCTAATCACTGCCTGTTTTAGGGAAGTGTATATACCATGTGAGAGAGGGAGCGCGTGTGCGTGTGTACATATACATATTATATGAGTATAAGCACACGTCGTAGGTGTGCGTATGTACGAGGTTAGTTCTAGAACTATAGCCCTTCGCTCCACCACAGGCATAGGATAGACCAATGGCGGAGCGGCGGGCTATACTACTATAGAGCTAGTGCAAGGTGTACGTGTGTTGTCAAATGAAAGGTTTACAGAGCCGATCGATGTACACGCACAACCTGCACGTGCCACTTAAAATAATAACGTAGAAATACTATACAATGACACACCTAGCATGGCAGTCGGGATAGTCCATTCCTAGTTTAGCATCCCGGATTAGTTTAGCATATATGCGAATTTGTTACCTTGCTTGCCTTGTCTTGCTTACTTGCCACTATATCTAGTGTCTATATTGTATATGTTGTCACTATATCCAGCGCAGTGGACACCGACAAGTACGAGAACATAACATAACATAACAACTATAGTCTATATATACCAGGAGTAGATAATAGGGAACAGGAGTAGATAATAGGAAGTAGGAAGTAGGAGTAGATAGTAGGAACCAGGAGTAGATAATAGTTCCCTATTATCTACTCCTGATATATACAAAGGTCCCAAACTAGGATTGAGCAGCCGGGATTACGGCACAACACGGATAAATGTGGGATTACCATCATGCAAACTTACCACTATGTATCAGTCCTAAGAGAAGCAGCACTGTTGGGCCGGATCCCATCACAGTCAGGCAGGCCAAAAATGAAGGAGTCCGCTAGAATACTCGACTCTACGACACGATTTGCGAACGCGTGTAGAATGTAGAACACACACAAACACATTACAGCCCAGACGCAGCAATTCAAATTGCATACCTGTTCAACACACCACGTGATTGACACACACTGCATGCCTGACCACGCCTCAGTGCACACCTGTAACTTATAAGTCGCTATGGGTCGCTATAACGCTATATGGGTCGCTATGGGTCGCTATAACGCAGCTTTACTGTACGTTTACCGTTTATTCCAAGAATAACCGTAAACACTACGATTACATATATCGCATGATGCGGAGCCGATTACGCAAAATAATGTGCAAAAAGCAGGTAAGTATTTTCTTGAATCGTGTCATCTTGTCGTGAATTATATCGTGTGCATTCCATCACACATCTCTATCGCATGAATCACAGCACAGCATTATACCTATAAGCACATCGTCACGACTTGTTTTAGGAGTGAGTGAACATATGGCACGTGGCCAGTCTAGGTAACACACTCTGCTCATACGGACACACAGTTCAGCATGTTTAATTCATCGATCCAACGATGCAACCAACTATCGATCTATCCATCCATCCATCCATCCATCCATCCATCCATCCATCCATCCATCCATCCATCCATCCATCCATCCATCCATC